CTCTCATCTAAGTTATTAAATAGAGTTCCCATCTTTGGGTCACTTGCAAGTCTGATGTCCATGCTTTTGATACCTTGGGACGAGCAATGGATAAAAAATGTTAGACAGCACAGGGCTTGGGACAGGTCCCTGGGAAACTCTTGACACAGCCTTCCTGCAAGCTGACCCTGAAGCACAGATACTTTGCATTTGGCTATTCAGCCACTTGCGAGTCCATCCAAATTGTCATCCAAAGCACGTTGTTACCTCTTCTGTGAAAATGGCCTGAGAGACTGTTAAGTTTTGTTGGGATCTAGATAAACTCTGCTCCAAGACAGAGACAGAGAAAAAGAGATGGAGAGAGAGAGAGAGACAGACAGAGAGAGAGACAGAAAGAGGGAGAGACAGAGACAGAGAAAGAAAGAGAGAGACAGAGACAGAGAGAGAGAGAGAAACAGACAGACAGACAGAGAGACAGACAGAGACAGAGAGAGAGAGAACAGAGAGACAGACAGACAGACAGACTCCAAAGTATGTTTCCTTCACCCACCTAGACCTGTTGGTCTAGGCTTGGATTTTGTTTCCTGAACTTATTTATTTTCTCCTTTTTACCTATTTACTCCATTTTCTGTGGTGTACTCTCTGAATAGTATCACTTCTTTTTTTCCCATTTACTGATATTTACCCAAAAGTTCTCCACCGTCATTCCCCATTCAGGTTCTTGGATTTCCTCACATGAATACATCTTCTTCTTTAAAAAAATATTATGAATTTAATGAACACCAGAAAGCAGAGAATATATCTATATAAAAAAGAGAACAGAAAAAGAGATTTATATGTCAACCTGTGAATCATATACAGCTTGCTTCTTAAAAAGGCACGTCACAAATTCAACATGTTACTTTCAAAGCTATCTTGCTTATCTGTGCTTCCTTATGCGCTTTCTTATGTTCTCTTCTTTTCATTAAAAAATCCAAACAACAACTTTTCAATGACCCATTTTTTTTGCTTTAGTGTGTTTTCTTTATACATAAAATCTTACTTCAGTTTATTTCATCTATCTTATTTTTCTTTTTTCTTTTCTCTCTCTTTCTTTCTTTCTGTCTTTCTTTCTGTTTGTCTTTCCTATTTTGACCAAGTTGGAAATGTAGGGGGCACTGATAGGCCCGATCCCACTGATGATTGGCACGGGACCTCTGACCTGCTCCGTTTTTGGCCTGGGCTGGTTT